AAATTTTGTTATATATTATAATTGCATTCATAGTGGAGGGCAATTTCTAAAGTTCTTTTCTCTCCATAACCCTCATGCCTATAATGAATTATATCTCTATACTTAACTACTTTAACAATGGTTTTGCTACCGACTCAATAATTTCGAAATCTTTTGGCAAAATAGGATTTGTTGTTTCTTTCTTGCTTTCTTGATTATCGATCAATTGAGTTGCGGTTTGAGATGATGATTGCCCACCGTGCTACATTAATCGATTAATAATCACGATTTTTTTGTAAAGCATGACGCCATATATATCCTTGAGCAAATATAATTGGACTAGTTAAGCGAGTTCCCACGCCATCAAAAAAACAAAATATAGACGAGTTAAGGGCAATTGCCCATTTCTGAGTTAAATGATATTATGCAAAGACATTATAGGAAAATAATTTTGGCATTCCTAGTTTCCCTATGTAAATAAATATGTGTTACTCTAATTAGTTTAGGAGGGGTAATTTTTTAAAATAAAATTGATTGACATTAACATGTTTGTAATAATACGACAGTGGGAGGCATGGGAATTTTAATTGGGACATGGAATAATATCAATAATTAACTAAAGTTCATAAATGACTGTGATGGTAACACTCGAGCTGCAACTGTTGAACAAATTATTAAAAGTGAGAACATACTTCTATGTCATTTAGATAATAATAATAATAATAATAATAATAATAATAATAATAATAATAAACGTAACTTGTCTTGCAAATAATGAGAATGTGATTGCTAAATTTTATGTCACGGAAAAGAAAAAAAAAAATGCTTGAAAGGATTTAATTAGTTTCATAGGACAGAGCATATTAATCATTATTATGGATGTTGTTTGCAAACTTTTAAGATATAAATAATGAATAGGTTGCAGATAATTACACAAGACTGGTTCCTTTTAGCCAGAAATTTTTGGAGTCTTTTTAAATTTTAAAAGTTTGAAAAAAATATATATAAAAAATTAGTATTTAATTTAATATTTTGTAAGATAAAAAAATGATTTAATGTGATTTTTTCGAAAATAAATAATATCAAAAGAGTCAAAATTGGTTATATAAACGGAACATATATATCTTACTTTATAAATGAAATCGTATGTACATGGAATACCATAAAAATAATAAAAACCTAGATATAACATGCATTATGTTCTAAACACAAATGTTGCCCAAATTGTGTTACATTGTTTTGACATATGCTTTGATTATCATTTTAATTCACTCGTATCAATATGGTACTGATTTGATTCAATCTATATATATTTATAAATATATATATATATATATTGATAGCATATTATAATATGTAGCATAATATATTACTCCCTCCGTCTCACATACAATGTCCACGTTACCGTTTCTATCCATCTCACATTACATGTCACTTTCCTTTTTTGAAAAATAATTATACACTTTAATCTCATTTTAAACTTTTTAATTTTAATTAAACTAATTAGTTATTTTAATCTTAATTTATAATTATTTACATTATAGGATAATTATTTTCACTAATATATTCTTAATTATCTACTAATTACACCCCTTTTAAAATACTGTGTCTACAGTGTAGCAGACACAGTATATGGGACGGAGGGAGTATAATTTAAGCACAATAGCACAATAAGTAGATTATACAATACAACACAATGTATAATTCACACAACAAATGTTAATAGAATATATAACATAGTATATTATATAATTTTATTTAGCATAATAAATCTTAATTTCAGCACAATATATAACTCATAAAACACATATTTTTATATAACGCAACATATATTATATGTCTTGTTATGAAATGTTAATTGATTCAAGTCAGTGTGCTAATTTAATCAAATCAGCAATGTATTGACATGACCTAATTGCCGCCTTTAACATTTCAGACCGTGCCCTTACTCGAACTGGGTTTTCAGACCGTGCTTATTTTTGTCACCCCTAACCAAATTACATTATTAATTATATATATAGTTTTTAAATTTTTTTTTTTTTATAGATATATATATATATATATAGTTAAAGCAAAGAAGATGATGTAAAAACACTCGATCATCTTGCAAGACTAGGCAACAAATGTGTGAAAGCAACAGCCAACTTTTGGTAAGTCAGTTGTGTGGGACTGACTGACTATATATATATATAATATTATTGCAGAGTTTGGTTTAGGGTCAAAAAAGTTGCTTAACTTAACCATGGTTCCGTTGTAAAACGTTATTTAATTGGTGCACTTGTCATCTCTGCATGCATGGCTTCTTGATTAATAATAATAATAATAATAATAATAACAATAATTGGCATGGAATAATTGTCAATTTTACTATCATTCAATTTTTTTAAAAAAAAAATATCAAATCAAATACGTATTTTTTATTTTTTATATTAAATTAAAAATTAATTTTACATTCAAAATATCACATAAACACCTGTTTATATCACATTATACAACTATTACAATTTCAAATTTTTACTATTCAAAATCCAATCCCTCAAACAAACACATTTATAAGTTGGAATTTTTTGCCATATGTTTTGATAAGCCGGAGGAAGTTCATCACGAGACAAAATGAACTACCAAACACCTGAGACCAATAGAGCCGTTAACGAGTCGAGTCAAAAAAAAAATTTAAGTGTTTAAGTTCGTTCGTTAACGTTTGCGAACAAGACTCGTATTCGTTCGCTAAGTTTTTGAACTCGTTCGCAGTGTTCGAGCTAGAACTCGTTAAGAATATTTATTGTTTGAGTTGGTGTTCATGTTCGGCTCGATTAAGCTCATTCGAGCTTGTTTGTCTCACTTTTTTAAAAAATTTATATATCAATTAAAAAGAAATTTTGAAATTATTTTGTTTATTTATTTATTTTAAATTGATATTTTATTTATTTATAAATTATAATTTTATATGTATATATAATATTTAAAAAAGAAAGAGAAAATCTTACCTATGATTTTAAATAGATTTATATGTTAAATTTTTTAAAAAGTTAACAGTTAATTGTAAAATTTCTCTAAGTTAGACTTAAATCTTGAAAATATGTTTTTCCGACTAATGGGTCAAGTTCATCACGTAACAGCTCAAACAATTTCTTTTGTACATGGAAGAATGTTTTTCAGATTGATTTTAATTATAAAATTTTAAGATAAATTATTATTATTATTATTACTATTGCTCCCGGAAAAAAGATATATGCAAAAAAAATAAATAAAAATCAATCAGCTTAATGAACTAAATTGAGATATTCGATTTCATTTGTTTAGTGTTCAATTGCTTGTGATTTTATTATTTTGGGCTTCGGCCTAACAAATTTATAGCTCCAATTCGTTAATAGTTAAAACTAGGGGTTATTGGGCCTAACAAATTTGGACTTTCAAGTGTAACATTTTAATTTAATTAACAAATTAGTCATTATTACGAGTAATTTTAGGGTAGATTATATAACATCTAGTATTTTAGTAAAAATGTACAAAATACTATGCATTTTATTTATTGTGTAAAACTCTCTTCTATTAATGTAAAATTTGCACGAAATACTCACTTTGTCCCAAACTGACATTCGATTTTAAATAAAAACTTAAATTACTTAAGTTTTATACGAATAAAAAATATAAAATATCTTAAATAATTTTTTTGAATAAAACAAAAATAAATGAATAATTGATTAATCCCTTTTTATAGTATTTGAGACAAATTGTTATCTGATTTTTATAAAAACTATTAAAAAAAAAATCATCAATTATTTATTTATTTATTTTATTAAAAATATATTTAAGATATTTTTTATTTTTTATTTGTATAAAACTGTCGTAATTTAAGTTTTTGTTTAGAATCAAATATCAATTTTGGACAAATAGAGTGTTTCGTGCAAATTTTACAGGTTTGGACATTTTTGTTCTTTGACTTGGTAATTGTATGTATAATGATATATTTGTAATTTAAGTAAAAATTAAAAGTATTTGGGTATTGGTGTATAATTATTTTTTACTAATGAAATAAATACTTGGAATGTGACAGATAAAAATAATAAAAATAATATTTTAAATTAAAACAAACCGAGTATAAATTTTTCATAATAAATAAAATAAAAAATATTTGATAAATTTTTATTTAACAACACAAAAGTGAGTTATACAATTTATATCCAAAACTAAAATAATTCAAACTCACACAGGGTGGCTCTCATGATTGGGTGATTTGGGGAGTGGGACACACTATTAAACGGCTACCTTTTGCAGTCCCAAAAAGATGCCGATGCCGATGCCGATGCCGATGCCCTCACTCTCTTTTACCATCATCCAATCCATTAATTTAATTTAATTCAAAACCGCTTCTGCAGTCAGTCAGTCAGACTGCACGTGACAGGCACAGCCACCACCACCACCCACCCACTGAACACTTGTGTCCTTGTCAAATTACACAAACACACACACATGTCCAAATCATTGACTCACCCACCTTCTACGCCTATGCCCTCCTGCTTTTATTTCATTTATTAAACTACAACCAAATCAATTTTACATTTATCATAAACTGCATATAATATATTTTAATATAATATGACTTGATATAGTTTTATATTGCATATACAATATTTGATTTTATCATATGATGTATCATCACACACGCTATAACTATGAATTAACAATATATATTTTTATTACAAATAATATATATTGTATTTAATAAAAGTATATGTTAGTACTCTCATACGCTACAAGTTATAATTATGAATTAACAATATATATTTTTATTACAAATAGTACATATTGTATTTAATAAAAATATATATTATTTTTACTATATTCAGCACCAGCACCGTAATCTTTTCCTCATTCCAAACATATGCATCTAGCGTTATTTATTTTATTAGATCTAATTTGCAAAATATTATATCCGATCAGAAGCTAAGCTAGGAAGAAGAATCGTAGCGGTAAATTATCATATTAATATATATATATATATATATATCACTGCCCAAATTCAATTTTAACCAAAATGTAAGTCCATTAACAACAAATCAACATGTTCTTTTCCCTCATCCTTTCCCTCCATAAAATTGACTTCAAAAAATTTAACCAACAACCATAACGTAAACCGATGCTCAATTCACAAATTCCGGCCTCCGATCATGCCGGAGAAGGCAGCGACGTCGGGTCTGCCGATGATGCGATATCCGGCCCGACTCGGCACCCCTCCAACATGAACATCACATCCGTCATCGTCGGCCGGTCGTTCGGATCCGTCGCCGTGCAAATTAGCCCAACCTTTATTCCTAGCAAAAACTCCTCCCATTCCGACGACTCCGGGTCCAATTCGAGCAGACCCGGCTCCAAAAGCTCGGCGATTTGCCCCCTTTGGAGCTGCCTTTTCACCCATTTCACAATGTCCTCATCCTGCGTGAACATCACCGGCTTCTTCCCCGTCAAGAGCTCCAACAAGACGATCCCGAAGCTGTACACATCCGACTCCCGGCTCACTCCATTCGTCAGCATTGCCTCAGGCGCCGTATATCCCAACGTCCCGACCGACGCCGACGTCGATGCTTCCCCTCGGGACGAACTCATGAGCTTCTCCAGGCCAAAATCCGACAAATGGGCTTCGAAATCGGCATCGAAAAGAACGTTGTGCGGCTTGACGTCGCCGTGCACCATCGACGATGCATGCAGGAACGCGAGGCCTCGGGCGATCCCGAGCGCGATCAGGTGCCGCATTGGCCAATTCAGGACGTGCCCGTCCTGGTGCGACGCTTCCTGCAGCAACGTCGCGAGGTTTCCGTTCGGCATGTAGTCGTAGACGAGGAGTTTTGGGTCGGGCGGGGCTGCATAGTACCCACGCAGCACCGTCAGATTCCGATGCTTGACTCTCCCCATCGCCTCCGCCTCTTTTCGAAACGTGTTCAAGTCGACGGTACCGTTCGATAGGCGACGGATTGCCAGCACCATCCCGTCGTTGTAACACGCCTTGAACAGCACGCCGTGACGCGTCCGGCTAAGAACATTCTCCTCGTCGAATTGTCTCGTCGCTTCGAGCGTCTCGGCAAGAGTGATCTTGTTATTGAACATAACGAGCTTCGGCCCACCGTTTTCACTGCTGCGACGACCTCCGCTGGCCCTCGAGCTCGCTCTCCCCGGGCTCGGCTTCTTCTCCCCCGTCGACGTTCTACGAACCTTCTCGCGCCATTTCAAGAAACTGTAGATGTAGAAGCAGCAACACGACAGCAGGAGGAGGATTCCACTGGCGGCCACGGCTACGAACATGATGAATCGGTTCTTACCAGCGCCATTATCGTCATCATCGCAGTTTCGACCTAAAGGCTTCCCGCAGAGGTCGGGATTTCCCGCGAACAACGATTGATCATCCAATCTAGAACTCAATGATGGCGGGATTTCACCGTCTAAGTTGTTGTTCGACACATTGAAATCGACCAAGCTAGAGATCAGCGAAAGATTCGCTGGAATTTCCCCCGTCAAATTGTTTGAATCGAGCGAAAGCGAAGCTAACGAGGAACAATTCGAAAGCTGCTCCGGGATTAGGCCGGAGAGATTGTTGTTACCCAAATCAAGAACCCTCAATCGTGCGAGGCGCGAAAAATCTATCGGAATACTTCCGATTAATGAATTCGACGAAAGATCGATGACTTCGAGCGACGAGCAGTTGCTCAATTCCGGCGGAACTGATCCAGAAATGTGGTTGTTGGATAATGACAGAACAGCTAGCGACTGTAAGAACCCAAATGTCGGAGAAATGCCGCCGGAAAATGAATTGTAAGAAAGATTCAAGTACCGCAAGCCTAATAAGCTACTTAGCCCTTCGGAAACCTCACCAGAAAATGTGTTTTCCTGCAATGCGATCACTTGCAGGTTAGGGAGGCCGATGAGATTCGTCGGCAATACCCCCGAGAGATTCTGTCTGCTCAGATCAAGAGATGACAGTTTAAACAAACTTCCAATGCTCTCCGGGATGCTGCCGGAAAATCCATTGCCACTCAAATTTAGAGATGTTAGTTGCTTCAAATTTCCGATGCTCGCCGGAACTGCGCCGGAGAAGTTGTTCCCGCTTAGATCTAACGAACTTAAATTGCCTAAAACCATCAGTTCGTCGAGCATCCCCGTCAGGCCATTGCCTCTCAAGTTTAGAGTTTCAAGTGATGTCAGATTACTGAAACTGGAAAGAATTGAACCAGAAAAGTTGTTCCCACCGAGAGATAGTATCTTCAAATTGGTCAGTTCAGACATGAATTCAGGAATTCGGCCGGAAAATGAATTCCCGTCGAGATCGAGAACTGTCAAGTTTCGACAGTTTCTGAGGTCGGATGGAATTGTACCATTGAAGGAATTATTCGCCAGTTTGAGCTCTTCCAAGAGCTGCAGAGTTCCAATGTCGCCGGGAATCGAACCGGAAAGAGAATTTCCGGAAAGATCAATCGATGTTAATGAGGAGACATTGGTAAGAAACGGCGGAAATCCACCAGATATCTGGTTTTCCTGAAGATCTAAAACCTGTACTGCGCTCGAACATATGGCGGACGCCGGCGGCGTACCAATTCCGGTGAAAAAATTGAACCCTAATCGGACGTCACGAATCGATGGCGGAGTATGAGTATCAGAATTCTTACAGAACAGAGACGCCGGCACGCCGCCGGATAAATTGTTGTGCGACAAGGAGAGAACCTGAAGCTTCGGAAGCGCGCCGATCGCCGCCGGCACCACGCCGCCGATTGCGTTGCCCTCGGCACTGAAATGCACGAGCGCCGAACAATTGGCCAGAGCAGAAGGCAGCGTGCCTTGCAAGCTGTTATAGTCCAGCCAGAGATACTGAAGATTCTCGATCTCCCCGATAGTAGCGGGAATCTCGCCGGAAATCCGGTTGTACGACAAATTGACGAGCTGCAGCTGGGACCCGCCGGAAATGTTCCTCGGTATTTCGCCGGAAAATGCGTTGGACGAAAGGTCCAGGAACCGGAGGCTTCGAGGCAGGTCTCTAGGGACTTCGCCGGATAAGCTGTTGCTAGCAACATTAAGGACTAGAAGACTGGTGAGGTTAGATACCTCCGGCGGGAGGTTACCGGAGAAGGAATTGTATTGGAGGAAGATCGATTGCAGGAGAGGGCACCGGAAGAGGGCCGCGGGAATGGTGCCGTTGAAGAAATTGGAACGGAGATTGAGCTTCCGCAGCATACGGAGATTAGCGATTTGGGGAGAGAGGTTTCCGGTGAGCTGGAGATGAGGTAGACGGAGCTCGCTAACCCGGCGGTCGGAGCAGCCGATTCCTGGCCAGTCGCAAGGTGCCGACGGCGAGGATGGGTCCCAGCCGGTTAACGCGCCGAGGGGGTCTCGGAGGCTCGTCTTAATGGCGCTCAAAGCTTGGATCTCCGCTTGGGTATTATCCACATTCACTTCCGCCGGGATCACCGGCGCGGCGGAGATTAAGAGAAGGAAGAAGAAAGCGGCGGCGGCCATTGTTGTTGTGTAGGGCAAAAAGATTTGGGATATGTAATACTGGTTGGAGTGTGGATGGAGAAGATATATTTTAGAAAAATGGGAATGGCGGACGGTGAGTGGTGACGGCTGGGAGAGGCATCGGCGGTCGGCGGTATGCTGCGGCGTTGAGTGGACGCCGGACTGCCGGAGGGAGTCTTCAGTCTTCTAGGTGAAAGTGGGGAGTGAGAAGTACCCAGAAGAAGGTGTGTTTTTAATTGTTTATATTTTAACAGTATTATTTTTAATTATTTATTAATTATATTTCTTCTAAATTTTCGAATTTACGCTAAAGTTAAATTGTGCTTGATAGGGGAGTAATAATTTTAATTTATTATTTTTGTCTGTTTGAAAATAATAGTTACTTCTCCATTTTTTTTAACTAATTTCCTATCTTTTTAGCAAATTATTTTTATTTTTTTTACAATAATTATATAAAATATAAATATTTTAGTTTTTTAATAACATTTTTACACTTACTATTATTATAATATTATTATTTCTTAATTTCATCTTCATTTCAAATATTTTTATTGTTTTGGATCGAAAAGAATATAAATTTAAAAATAATAGTAATATTTTAATTATAATCTAGAATTAAAAGTAAAGTAAAAACTCAATATTTTATATAGTTTTAAATTAGATTAACGTGATATGTAGTTAAATTAAAAATATAGTTTAAAATATGTATATATATGTCATTTTTCACAAGAATAAAATATGCATATAATATAAATGAATAGATGTATATATAAATTAAAAGATTATAAATTTTACCTTAAAAATTTTGAAAATATATATTGAAATTATAATCAAACAATGTTCTAGGTATCTATTTTGAATTTGGTTATATTTAAAATATTTTTATTTTAATGACGTGAACCACCAAAATATGAAAAATACCAATAAAATTTATTGGGAGAAGAAGAGAGGACAGATGTAATGTAAGTGTGGGTTGATTTATTGAAAAGTTAAACTCATCTTTAATGTTTTTTTGACTTAGAGAAATCTTGACCTAACAAACTTATCTACGCTTCACATGCCGATCAATGCCAGTTTGTTAGCCATCATTAACTTTCATTGTTATAAATAATAAACTATTAAATAAAGTAGTAAATATGCATTTGTTTATTCTGTATTTTCTTTTTTCATTTTATTTTATTTTTTTTTAAAAAAAATATTTTCTTTTTATATTAAAAATATATTTTTATTTAAAAGAAAAAAAAATAGAAACATCCCCGGTATTATTATATTCTTAAGTAATTATTCACCAATTAATCTCTTTTAAGGTGGATGATTCCTCTCTTTTAGCTTTATTCACTTTATTAAATTAAATATTTTTTAGATGATAATTTATAATGGTCTCATTTACTTTTTGTATTTTTGTGTGTTGATTTTTTAATATTAATTCTCATATCAAAATATAGTATAAATTTTTTAAAAAATTACAAAAATATTTTTGTTAGTATTTTATAATACTAATAGAAATATATTTATATAAAAAATTATACAAAGATAAAATATTTTTAATGTTAAATATAATACCGCATAGTAAATATAACTATTTGAGGTCAGACGGTGGTAGTATATTATTTCCATCATAATCTCAACATTTTTTTTAACTTAAAATATATTCAACACTTCATATGTGATCTATTTTATATTTTACAAATATTTGATCTCTTATAAAACTTTTTTTTAATTTTTTCATTTTAATTTGACCTAAACCAAAGTATTTGTTTCATTGTACTATTTATCGGAATATTAATATTTGTAACTAAATATGACGGGAGGGAGATAGTAATAATTTTGACTTCAAATTCAAATTAAACACAAATCAAAATGAACCGTTAAAAAAATCGGTTTGGGTCTGAACCGGGACATCGTAAACCGGCTGGACAAGGGTGGGCTAGCCTTCTGTCAGCCCATTTTATTTCCTTAGCCACAAAATAATAAATCTTCAAATATTGTATACAAGGAGGAGGAACCCAAAAATGGCGAACCCATTGGCCACAAATCAATCAATCAATCGTACCGTACGCATCGGTGCCGGCGTTTGTATCTCCGCCCTTTTCGTTTCTCCGCTATCTCCTTCTCCGGACAACTACACTCTTTCTCCTTTCCAATTCGTGGCCTTATTGTAATCTACGCCAGCTGTTTAGATTTTATTATGCAGCACTTTTCAAGATGGAGGAACGTCTTCACTCTCAACAACACGATTGCGGAATCGGCAAAAATTGGAATAGCTACAACAGCTCATCTTGCTTCGTTCCATTCCACCGGTGCTGTTCTGGAGAAATGGAAGAATAAGTTCAACTTTGTCAGTTTTGTTTCCCCTTTCTTTCGTTACATGTCCTTTTAATTGTACGATTTTTCTGATAATCCATTCGAATTGCAATTCGTGTGTGAAAAATCGGCGCTGATATTGGCCAGCGTTGGTTGTTTGGTTGGGTTTTATTATTCGTATTTAACTTCTGCAATGAGTTTCGATATCCTTAGGAATTGTCAACATGTTTATTTGTATTGACATAGAATGGATTTTGGGCATTAGTCATTGGTTAGGATGCATATTTGAGTATAGGGATCTCTCTAGGGCTAGAAATTGATGCATCGAGAACAAAAACATGATTTCATGAAAGGATGGTGTTGTTGTTCTCCCGCTTGTTAAAGGCTAGTAATAACTGGTTTGAAGATTTCTCTTGTTGATTAATTTTGAAAAGTCATTAGTTTCGACAAAGGATGATGTATTTATCATCACTTCTATTATTTCTAATAGAATATAAGCCAAGTCCTGTGCCTAAACTCACAAATAAGTAGAAAAGCTATCTGTTTTGAGAATTTTTTCTCAGAGTAACAGTATACCTAGCATAACCTCAAAGGGTGTTAAGTACTAATGATTCTATCAGATTTTTTTTTGTCTTTTGATATACTAGCCCATCAAGATTCAAGAGATGATGGGGGAATGAAAAAACGATTTAAATCATTCTTTTCATTCTTTTCTCTTAGGCAATGATTTTATGTTTATGTTATACATAACACTATTGGGATGATCATCGAACAAAGGATTTGTTGTAGTATAGAGGCTAGTTTAGTTATCGCAAGATGAAGAAGGCTTGTGGGATACGTTGATATAATGTTTGTGTACCTTTAGTTTTAGAATAACTTAGAATGTGGGGTTGGAATGTGATTTTGTGTTGCTTTCTGTGGGTGTTCTTTTCTTTTCCTTTTTTCTTTCTTTTTTTTCATTATAATTTTTTGAGAATTTCTAGTATCTATTGTTCTTAGTGAGGTTTCTGATCATAAGTAGCTTCCACCTTGCTTGCTTCAATTATTTGCTAGATTATGTTTTTTTGTTGTTATGGGCGTCTTTGTTGCCCCCCTCAAAAATCTGGGATTTAACGAGTGAAATTGTCCTGCAGGAGGTAAGAGGAGATCGGCAATCATCCAAGGTAGGAGTGGTTATAACTTATAAGTTCTTGATACAATATTTTCTTGAAGTCATGATAATGTTGCTGAAACTATTATCATTAAATTATAGGTTGTTGGACAATTTTAAACTTATTTGGCTAAAGCCGTTCGAGTTCTTCTGTAGAATTCTCTTCTGAACATTCCCTTTCAGAACTCAAATTTTATAAACTTTTAGCTAATTCCCTGAAATCAAATAAATGGGTATCAGCATCTTTCATTTTTATAACCATATTCAAGTGGCCTTCTGAAATATAGTTTCTGGCTAACAGATCCCAAATCTTGGGTATCTGCTCTCAAGACTTGACCATTTTCTAAACCTCCATAGGAATGTCATGAGTTGGAACAGGCTGTTTATGTCGAGGGATTTAAATCTCCCAGTGGACATAAACTCCTGGATTTCCTACTCATTTTGCATGATACTGATTATTATCTTTCTTTGTTGCCGAACTTGATCTGCAAGCAAGTAAGCAACTTAATATTGACATTTTGTTAAACTTTATGGTCCTTTCAATCAGACATATGTAAGGTATGTAGTAAGGCAAAAGCGTGCTGACACAAAGAAAGCCCTTAAAAGTATACTCTACAATGGAGGTTGCTCGGCATCAAAAACCGAGGTTTGGATTTGCTAAACAGTTTTTTTTGGCATAGGTTTTTATTCGGTGGTTTTCTAAATTCCTGACGCTGGTCATTGACATGTACTGCTTTGCCTTTTCCATTGTGCACTTGCCAGTCATTTTCAAGAATAGAAGCCGACTTTGCAGATCAGTTAAACAAGAAATCTCGGGCAAAGTCTGCTCGTCAAGCCAAGAAAGCTTGCCAAAAGAAATTGCATCGTAAGTCTCTGATAAACCCTGTGAATGGTGTTTTGTGTTGTTTTGTTTTATTTTATGAAGTAAAGCAAATATGTACCTCTCTCTTTCCAAAATATAATCATCTTTAGTGCAACTAAAATACATGCATGCGCACATTACACAAACAAATCTAATTGCTCGTTTTATTTTTTATGTTAGCTGAATATATTAAATTCAGCATGCCTTAACATATAGAGTGGATATATGGATTAACTGATGAATCCGTCGAACGTAATTTGGATGGTACCCAGATACTATAAGTTGTTTTTATCATGGAATATAAGCTTTGTGATATTGCTTATTCTTTCAAGTTACAACAACTTTGTCAAGCCTTCATTACAGGGACCCTGTTCACATGTCTGTCGGGGTCTAATCTTTTGGGATTCCTGCAACCTCTTTCCGTGACCAAATGGCTTGATTTTCTATTAGCTTTAACTATGATTCTATTGCTGAATTCTTTCAACATCGATTTTCTTCAGGTAGGCGTCGGAGAGAGGATGAGGACGATGAAAGGATATTTCATGGTACATTTGGGAAAGGAGGCTTCAACTGGACATTCAGACCCTCAGAAATGGGATTCAATTGGACAAAGAGTTCTGGCTGGAATTACAGTAGATTTCACGCTCAGGATTGCAGAAGTAGGATAGAGTACGACAACTCCTGCACTATAGGAACCTATGCGGATCGAAAAATCCTCGGCTTGCCAATTTCAGGCGCTTTGAAAATGGAAGATGTCAAAACTGCGTAAGTACTATGTCAAAGCTTTCGCCGTATTCCAGAACAGCTTCGGGAATTTGAGTTGATGCAGTGTTGTTTGTGCAGCTTCCGATCCGCTGCTTTGAAGTGGCATCCCGACAAACATCAAGGCCCTTTACAGGTAAGCTGTTGTTCGAATACTGTTCGGCACGTCGATTCATCGACGAATATTCGAATTAAGAAATATATATATATATATATGGGTTTGCAGGCAAGTGCAGAAGACAAATTCAAACAATGTGCCGAGGCTTACAAGTCGCTGTGCAATGCTCTGTCTCAAGAATACTAAACTTTATCAGCCGGGCCGGGCCGCTTTAGGCACCCATTTGAGAGTAAGCGGAATTTAAATCTTGAGGCTAACATATTTGATTGTGTAACAGCTAATATATTTTAATCTTATTAATTTATTTATAATAGATGATGACAAAAATAGGTAGAGATATCTCAATTTTCTAAATTGACGTACAAAATCATTTCTCATTGTTGGCAAATCATTTATATAAATGATGATGCAGAATTGGGATTCCAGAGCATGTTGAAAGCCCAGAAATAGAAAGACTTTTATTACAACACATGACAGAAACAGAGATAGTAACTAAAGTACCAAAAAATAATACAACACAGACAAACAAACAAACAGACATTAACAAAAGTATCAAAAAGAATGCACAAGAACAACAACAGCACAAACATGTCGTATAGGAAGCACAAAATAGTGTCTTTAGCTAAATAAGTTCTTCTCAAACTCACCTCACCATTGAACCACCGTGATTCGATCCCGACGCCGCCTCCGTCGTTGTTGTCGTCACGACCTGCTACCAAACTCGATCGATATAACTATTAGCTATCTTAAGCAAGAAAAATAACCTGATCAAGGCGATGTTTGCTTCCAAAATTGTCGAAATCGTAGTCTCTTTACCCCAACGTCGTCACCGACGAGAGGTTGTTATTACTACCAACAACCCGATAGCCTTCTCCAGCGTCGTCGCGATCCTGTTCGTCGTCGTCTGCGCCGTCCTCTTGCTCGTGACGATCGCTTTCGCAATACTCGCCAACCGAATTCTCCGGTTGTCGCTGGGTCTCGTCTTGGCCTCCCACCATCTGCATCAAAATCTGCTCGGGTTTCAAATTTCCCGCGCCGTTCTCCAATCCGTGCCCCGATTTCTTGGCCCTCTTCGCGTAGAGCGACTCGAGCATGTTGAAATAAGGACATGTCTTCGAATCCTCCGGCCTCGGCCTTTTACGATTGCTATCCTTCACCCTTTTGTAGTACTTGTTAATGTTCTCCCACTTCTCCTTGCACCTTTTTGAGCTTCTCTCGTAACCAATCTTCTTCATCCTCGACGAAACCTCCTCCCACAATGACCCTTTCGGACCGGTGTCCTGAAACTCCAAATCAAGATCAGTCTTCAGCGTGATCAATGCTTCGACTTCTGCTTTCGGCCATCGAGAAGAGCTCGCGCTCGTCTGAACAACGACGTCGCTGTTATCGTGCTTCTCATTCTGCGTGGAAGTTTCTCCGGCGACACCGCCGCCGCCGCCGCCACCGCCGCCACCATTGTCGTGGCGCTTCTCTGCGACGCTTTCTTGATTGTTGTCTGACCGCTTGTCGAACAATGAAGTGAGCGTTTCGGGCATCGGGAATGGGAGCGCCTGCTGCGTGATCTTCTGCAGGAAGGCGAGCACGGCCGCGTCTTTCTCCGCCGCGATCGCGCGTTCCTGAGCTAGATACTCCTGCTCCTGCTTAATCCTCGCCATTTCCTGCGCCTTCCACGCCTCCTCCCGAGCCATTCGATCCTTCTCGCACTTCTCCAATGCCTCTAAGAACTTGTTCTGCAGATCCTCTTGCTTCTCCAGCACCTCCTTCATCAGCCTCTCGAAGTATTCGACGAGCTTTCGCTTCTTCTTCTTCACACTGCCGTCTGAATCTCGTTCCGAGGACGACGCCGTCGATGTCGAGGCTGACATGAACTCGGCAGCTGCAGCTGCAGCGCTGGGACAGGGTATAGACGGAGCAGATGCTGCCATGGCGTAGGAAGAAGGTAATTGAGTATCGAGAAGCTCTAATTGATCGAAGAATCTGTAGGTTTTGCCATTGTGACGAGCGGATCTTCCATCTTTGGTTCGTTTGTGGTACTTGTAAATGTTCTCGAATTTCTCCTTGCATTTTTTGGCGCTGCGATTGTAACCGAGCTCGCCTAATTTCCTAATACCAACAAACAATCATATCGTCATCCATGGCGATTCGAGTTTATATTTTCCCCCAAATAGCCACAGAAACGCAAAAAAATCAACCAATCCAAGCAACTGAGAGCTATGCAATCGAGGAGATTACTTCAATCCAATTCAGTTCAGTTCAATTCGATTCGATTCGATTCGGAAAAACTATGAAAAAATCATTCAAATCTAGAGCAGCAAAAAACGAATCGAAACCTGGAGACTTGGTCCCAGAGAGGAGCCTTGAGGGCCGAATCGCGAAATGCGAGGTCCATATCAGACCTTATCTTGAGCAGCGCCAGAGTCTCCTCGCGAGGCCATCGATTCGCAGTCGAAGCTCTGTCGCCTTCCTCGCCTCTCATCTCCTCCTCCGCCGCCGCCGCATCTGGAGCTGAGCCACCACTTGCACCGCCGGCGCCGGCGCCGGAAGCCTCCAGAAAAAGAGAACTATCCAACATTTGAGTGGTAAAAAATTGAAGGCCGCCCAACGAAATCCCTTTCTTTCCCTTTCCCTTTCTCTGCGGAGAGGTGAAAACCCAAAAAGCACAAGTTTTTAATCTTGCTTTATCCCTCCCACCAATTGCTTTTCAGCCTATGGTCAAGGAATTTCACCTCTTTTTATTTATTATCTTTCTTTCTTTTTTTTTTAATGTTTTGGTTTAAATTTAATTTTATTGTGAAGTAGGGTTAGGGATAAAGATAAGGGGAAAAAAATAACTTAATTTAAAGTGGTAGGGTGGATGTGGAAGGTGTAAATGAGTTAATCAATCACATGACATGGAACAACACTATTGGTTAATAAAGTGAATAAATTCAAATTCCCTTTGGTATTGACTTTTCTTTGCAAATTGATATTGGCCCAATTAATATTATTATATATATATATATATATATATCAAATTATAAATAATAATAATAATAATAATAATAATAATAATAATAATAGAGAGAGAGAGAGAGGCAGCTTTGTGTGACTGTTTTCTTGGAATATTTTGAGTGGTCAAAAAAGAATTGCCAAAATGTGAAATTTTAACAAGTGGGATGTGAATAATGAAGTAGACAAGGATATGGATGGATGATGTAACAATCATTTTTGGATGCAAACCCTATTCTTAAAATCTCTACTTTTGTACTAAAATCATTATTTTATTTTACTTCCAACCCTCAAACACTTTTTTTTTTTTTTTGAAATTTTAATCATTCTTGGAATAATAAAATCAATTTTATCTTTTAGGAGTAATATTTTTGAATAACTATTTTCATCTCAAACTTTTGTTGAAAAAACAAACATCTCTATGCTCCATATTTACATTGAAATTTTTGGAAATTTTTGGAAATTTTGTAAATAGTATAATAGTATTAGTTATTTATAATGTATTTATTTGTGGAGTTTTACATTTGATTTTAGCATTTCAATTTTTTTTTTTCTTAAAAATATAAAATCAAAAATTTATTTTTTATTTATTATATTACACTAAATTTTAATTTTACATTTAAAATAACTCATCAATACACTAATTTTTTTATTATTAAATTTATGTGATTTTAAATAAAATTCAATTATATACTCTCGTAAAATATTGTTGAAATTAAAGAATTCAAATTCAAACACAAATTAAACAAATCCTTGGGATTAATTATTTTGATATATATTTTTCATAGAATATTAAAAGATTGTGTAATAAAAATAAATAAAAAAAATCAAATCAAATTTCAATCATTTATTGAAATTTATACGGATGGAAAGGTTAAAGGCGAGGGATGTGCTTTTGATCATAAATTTTTTGTAGGGAGAGTCTTGAAAATACATCATATTTGAACATTTAAAATTTGTGACTATGTTTTTTTTTTGTTTTTTTTTTTTTTTTTTTAGTATTTTTTTAAGTAATGATATGGTTATTTTTATATAAAACATATAATCAATACTATATCAAATTTTTTAAGATTTTGATTATAGTTTTACTATTTCAAATAAAAACAATCAAATCAAACACATTTGTTTCATTTATTATATAATATTAAAATTTAATTTTACAGTCAAAATATCATATTGACATATATTTATATCATATCAAATAATTTTTTAATTTAAAATTTTGTTATTCAAAACCAAAATCTAAAATCAAAACTTTACAAACACATTTTGTGTTTATTTGGATTTGGATTTTGATTTTGATTTTGATTTTGAATAGAAATTTGAATACTAAAAAATTCGAATAAGTATTTATATGATATTTTTAATATAAATTTATTTTTAATATAATATAAAAAATATATATATTTGATTTATGAATAGTAAAAAAATTAAAATATATTTATTTAAATTTAAAATTTCTATTTTAAACTGTTAAATTATTTAAATACAATTTAATATATTTTTATCAACAACAACAATAACAGTAATACTTCCTCCGTCTTATTGAAAGATTATCGTTTTTTATTTTCGTCCGTCCTAAAACAAGGTTATTATTTCCTAATTTAGTAATTATATTACTTACTTTATATAATAAATACTATTTCAATTTACAATATATTAAACAAATATCATTATTTTTATATTACACCATACTAATAGGGGTATTTTTGTCTTTTTTATTACAATTAAATATAATACTAATATTAAAAAATTTACATATAAAAAACAAACGTCACCCTTGTTGCGATGGAGGGAGTAATATAATTTTTGAAAACACAATAAAATAGAAGCAAGCAGTGGTGCACCATTGTTTTTTAAATATTTAAAATGCATTGGAGCTCTGGTGGTCCCTTGACCATTAATGATTGGAGTTTCAAATTTGGATGTTTTACATTATTATTATTATTATTATTATTATTATTATTTTAAGATTGAGCAAATATTCGGAATATAAACAAATCTTAAAATAATAATAATAATAATAATAATAATAAATAGTAAAACGTTGAGTATAAATAGAACCTTATGTATTCAACAAAATTAGTAAATATTATTTTCTTAGGTCATGTTCATTCAACAAAATATAACTGTGATATTATAATTAGGGTGTGTTTGTTCGGAGTTGAATTTTGAGTTGAGATTTGAATAGTCAAAATTTTAAATTTGAATAGTCGTATGATGTGATATAAATATGTGTTAATGTGATGTTTTGAATGTAAAATTAATTTTTAGTATAATATAAAAAATAAAAATAGATGTTTGATTTGATATTTCTAAAAAAATTAAAAAAAAGTGTATTTAAATCCAATTTCCCAAACAAACACATATTTTATACAAATTTTTAATATAATTTTTAAAAACTCTGAAATTGAAAAACATCCGTCTTATGCTATTTTTAAAATACAATTAATTTTTTTTAATAATAATAATAATAATAACAATAACGGTATTTGAGTAATTATTAGAATGCAATTGCAAAGTGTGTGACAGACATATTTGACCAACTATAAATTTACATTAAATGTAATGTAATATGTGGTGGTGTGTTTTCTTACACGTCTTTGGCTTTTCTTTGGGATTTTTTTTTTAATGCAGTAAGTAATAATCACACCAAAAATTTCAAGTTTCAAATATTGCGGCTGTCTTTTTTAGTCTAATCAATTAATATTATAATATATTTCTCCTGTCTCAATATAATAGTCATATTTATTAATTTTAAAATAATAATTTTATTTTTTATAAATAATTGTATCACCATAAAATTATTTTTAATTTTTATTTTTGTTACACAATTATCATTATTTTTTACATTAATACACTTGCAATGACAAAAAAAATTTGATCCATATATTTTACCAATTATCAATATAATATCAATAATTTTTAAATCTCGTATCTAACCTAATTAAAACTATATTTATGAGAAGGAGAGAGTATTAATTTTTTTATTTTTTTTTGGTATTGTTTAGATTACTAGTTTACTACACATAACTTGTAAGTAACTTTCTCGTCATATTTCAACCTCTTCCCTTATCACGATTCTTTAGTGTTATTATTATTATACATTATCCTTTATCCTAAGTTTCATTTTACCATAAAGTTAAATTTAATCATTCAGAAAACGACGTAGATTGGGCGGGTAATTAAATTCAAATTATATATCAAACCAATTATTATTATTATTATTATTATTATTATTATTATTATTATTATTTTGCCTTGCCCTAACTCATTATTTTATTTGCGGTAGAAAGTGTAGATGAGTTCATCTTTGACACATCCCAAATAAATAAAAACATATCATATTCAATCATTTTTATTATATACGTATTAAAAAAAACTATTAACTTTAAAATTTAAATTTGAATTGAAAAAACACCCAAATTCCGCTAAAACAAAAACAAACACGCATTAATAAGTGTCGTAAGAAGAGGAAATATCAGGTGTAGTCGACCCCACAAGGTTATTGTGGGCCTCACTCTCCAATTGGTTAACACCAACTCATGTTTGTTGTGTTTTTTTGATTAATTTGGAATTAAATTCGATTTAAATTTGGAATTAAAATAATATTTAGTAGAATTTTATTTTATTTTATTTTTTTTTCTTTTCCGGAGAGATATCAAATAATAAAAAACTTGGTGGTTTGAAGTAAAGAAACACACCATTCAACAATATAATCACTTTTACAATTTTTGAACTAATTGTTAATTTTTTTTAAAAAAAAATCTCACATTAAATACTTTTTTCTTTTTGTAAAAAATCAAATTAAATAATCATCTTTTACTATTATTAAATTACTATAAACTTCATTTAAAAAAAAAAAAAGGAACCATTTTTTTTTATTACTGTGTTTATCCCTTCTAGAGGTCACATTTACGTTTGCATAGTTATATTTAAAAATATCATTATATTTGTATATATATATTTTGTACAAATGTCTTTCTATTATATCATAAGACACTAATAAAAGTATTTTTTCAAAAAAAAATTTCAATTTGTATTACGTTTTGATATAATAATTAATATTCAAATATCAATATGCAAAAAGTAAATAAAACCCTTAAAGCCGAACGAAGGTAGTATTATATTATCTTTGTACTAATTTTTACGCTATATTTACTTGTTGATTCTTTAATAAGAAAATCCATATGATATTTTATAAAAAAAAAAAAAAAAATTAACAAAAAGTGTGTTTATTTGTAGGGTTTTGAATTAAATTTTGGTTTTGAATTGAAATAGTTGATTAATATGATATATATTGACCCCGAAAAACGATTAATTCATTCACATAAGCAATAAACTTAAAAATTCAATACAGAAAAATCCCTAAGATTGGTTGTTCGTTGGACGATCGAACTGCGAATGAACATACTGCTGACGAAGAACAATATAAACACAACGAAATGATAATCCAGTTCGGGTGGACTAGCCTACATCTGGGGGTTCCAACCCAGACGAAACTATTAAAACTATTGAAGCACAGAATATGTTGATACAATTGAGCTACACACTCAATAAATCTATCTACCTATTTCTTGATGATTTCTCGTATTCAACTTATCCCCCAAACTCCTCATCCTCAATTTTGATTTTTCTCCTTTAATACTCTACTAGAAACCACCGGAACATATCCTTAACAATCTCATTTGCTTCACTACCAAATTGGTTATAACAAACGTAAATTTCTTTCATAAATGTTTCACCAATCTGTTACATGTGTCGATTTTGAGTCCACTGTCACCACAAACAGACTTCTAG